TTTCTGTCCCTCTGGGCTGGAACTCTGAGCCTCGCTGACATCAGCGGTTGTTGGCGAGGAGCAAAGGATTGTGGGAAATTCTCCGAACTTTCTTAAAACTAAGTGCGTTTCAGATAGAGTTAATTTATTTTAATAAATTCTACAGCGAGAATTTGATAAAAGTTAGAGTGAGAATAATCGCCGTCGTTGTTGTCGTTGTTGTTGTGGTTGTTGTTGTCGTTATTGTTGTTGTTGTTGACTAACACCGTTTGCTGGTGTTCGATGGTTGTTTGGGGTCCAAGCGTTGGCTCACTTTCGGAAAAATGAACGTTTCAATAAACAAAAACTAAAGAGATGTTCAAGCTGGATTTGTTACCGCGGACTCTGTCGGGGGTTTTGGGATGTGATGTTTGGGTGTCGGGGGTTCGATGCCCCTGAGAAAGTGGGCGGAGCCGCCGGAAACCAGAGGGTTCGGATCAGAGCTGTTCACACTGTTGTGACAACGTGCTGTCAAAGAACCAATAGTAACTCTGGGCCACACGCAGTGGAACAGGTGGTTGACTCTCTCGCCTTACAGCAAGAACATCAGCAGTTCGAGTCCCGGTTCTGGTGCTGCTGACATCCTGGACTTTGGAGCGTTCTAGAAACAAGGTGACATGGTTTCAGTCTTCGACCAGAAAAGGTTTATATATCAGTGTGAGGTCCAGGTGAATAAATGAACAGCAGGGGGCGATCACACCACATATTTATTTACTTGTCATTGTTGAGCTAGCTAAGATATAATTGCTAATCTAACGCATCACCGTTCGAAAGAATAAACAAAATACACTAGGAATGTCAGTGTAAATGGGTTTACATCATGGACTAGAACCCCCCCCCACTCTCCCCCACTCTCCCCTGCTCTCCCCCCTCTGCCTCGCCCTCTTGTGTTACATCTCCTTTTTACTGAGTGAATTTAACGTTAAAGATTTATGAAGGAATATTCGGCCCGGAAGCTTCCTTTGGAACGCAGTTATTCTCCGTGGAACTCCACCTCAGCCATGTTTCCAGACGACTGCCACACGAAGAGCCGCGGTCCTCGGAAGACGTTTGTCCTCAGGACGTCCGTGTCCCGGAGCTGCGCAAATGAAACGAGGATTATAACGTTTGAAAGACGAGAGCGTCGATCCACGTCAGAATGCGTGATCGAACTCCCACCGAGATGAAGGTGGACGGGGGGGTGGTGGCGTTGGAGGGCAGTCCCATGTGCAGCGCCTGGATCCTGGTCTTCACCAAGGGGGGGCGTTGACGAGCACTCGACAGGTGTGATTGGTGTTGGACGTCGTTGGGTTTTCAAAGTCACCACTAGGGGCAAACAGCTGAACGTCACAGTCTGTGGAGGTCAGAGAGGAGACGAGTGTTTATCATTTGTTAAGATCCATAAAGCCGGCTGATTGGTCGATGTTAGCGAAGAAGGAAAAAAACAACAACAAAGAGGTAAATGTTGGGTCGGAGCTAGCGGCGAGGTGGGAGAAAATAGCAAAAAAGGTAATAGGCTAATGTTTGGCTGAGACTAAAGTTCAACTTCTACGCTGATGATGAACCACGTGAAAATCTCTCCCACCGTTGATTCTACGACACGTTGGAGGTAAAGTTAAAGGGAGCCCACGTCACCGTCTCACCCCGGTGGTGGCTCCTCTTTGTGTTTTTCTCCGACTTGTAGGTGAACACAATCCCGTTCCCAGGAACCCGCAGGTCCAGTCGGACCAGCAGGATGTTGGTCCTAGTGGTCAGCTCGGTACCTGCGACCTGCACGCACTTCCTGATGAACGTCAGGCGGTCAAAAAATACCACGTAATCCTCTGTGGAGACAATCGCACCGAGGTCACAAGGTCATGGGTTCATGTCCACATAGTAGTAACTGTGTAGTAACTGT